GACTCGAACCCGTACTTGTCCTTTCCGAGGACCGTGCTCTTATCCCTTGCACTATCGAGAGCCCGCTTGCCCTCGCCGCCATGAGACGAGTGTTTATGATTTGCAGATTGCCAGGGAGCATCAATGTCTTCATATACCGAGGGTAGCTATCTGATTGAGATTTGTTCTCTTTACCCGGAGGGAATCCACAGTACAGCAGCATTTAAGAGAAACGCTGACGAGCGGCTGCTAAATTATTAGGGCCATATCATGTTGCGTAGGAGGGGAAACGAGAAAAGAAGAACTCAGATATCGTACTTTCAATGCTTGAACGCTTGCATCGAATATCTGATGATACAAGCCAAGCAGAACGATTTCATCGAAGAAGACATCGTATGCTGCATTCTGTTTTGGTGTAGATGTCCTCTTCGTAAAGCATATGGACGTGAGCATCGGTTGGAATGGGGTGGGCAGAGCAGAAGACTATTCGATGACTGTATCGTGCCGACCCATATCATCATGGTAATTCACAGTTGCAGAAACCTTCTCATTTGCGATGGGCTTAGGAGCCACCCGTTGGACAGCTCTGTAATGAAATAGATCACATATAGTTGAGTTTTACCTCACCATTTTCGCTGTTACTCCGAACTTCTATACGGAATCTGACGGAGTTGACGCGTTCCAGTCCAACTGATCCTGTATTATATGTAAAGGGCATCGGTTTACTTTCCATTTCATAACTGTTTTCTCACCGCGCTCTTGCGTTCTCCGCACTTTTGATCGTGCCTTCGTGACTTTTGGGAGGACACACAAACGGGCATACAAACAGACAAACAAAGTTAGCGTATTATATATAGAGAGCATAGCGGATTTCGAAGGCCGCTAGTGTTAGATGATTTGTAGCAACCCACAGAAAATAGTACTAGACTGCTTCTACTATGCTAGGTTAAGAAGGGTGAGTTGAAAAGATTCTGTAGACCACCTTCTCTGAAGAAATCGTATCCGATGCTATTATTATTGAATATTGCGATAGCCACTCAACTGATAGAGGTTGTTCACCGGGCAGTAGAAAATAAAGGGCTACGTACAGAATGTGGCTCAACGAAAATCTTAAAGCTATTCATTCAGTTGGAACACGACTTCGGAGGTAACGACGGTGTAGAAGGTGACATTGATGTACCTATCCCTATCTCAAAAGGTGTCGCTTATCGGGTTCCGTTCTCCGGAAAAGTGTATGCATGTGAGTACTCGCATAAAATTTTCGTCGAAAATAATTAGCAGAGACTGCATGATATGTTAGAAAATTGTTCATTACAATTAAAATCCGTAGATATTGAGTTTCAGTTTGGGACAATATCACAGTCACGTACGGGCAGAATTTGGCTCCTGTTGATCCGTTTATGAGCCTGTTCGAATATCAGAAGCATCGTGATCCAGGCCTCGCTATACCGCGACGAAGAAGAGATGTTTCACATTCAAAAAAGGTTCTACAGTTTTTTTCAGTAGCCCATTTTCCAAGATGCGAAGGGTTCGGGAGAAAACGCAAAATTCATATTCCATATTACTTTACTGAGCAGGCATAAACAATCAGCAGCTTAGCATTTTCTTCAAATCGGAAGTGAGAGGACTATTCCGTACCTAATCCAAAAAAGCAACACGCTTGAAACCTCGATTCCAAAAAATCTTCAGAAGCAGTTATTGAGTACTAATCGTTGAATCGTATTTAGCATACATTCCGAGTGGAGGGTATCTCCGTTCGATAATCTTCTGGAATATTGATTTTGTGACTCCATCAGAGAAAATCATGCTTTCTGAGAGCACTGACGATTTGCCCTACAACAAAGCAGTGTTTTTGAGAGAGTTAATTGTGAAAAAACTTCCTGAAAACTCTTGATTTGATATGCAATTTATAGATCTGGTTCGATGAGCCCACGAGCGCGACTTATGAAGACCACTTGAAGTCCTATAATCAGAACAAGCGCAGAGTTGTCGCAACGCAGCAGGGACAATTCTACAAGGCTCGTAGGCTTGCACATGAACCAATTGGCTCATCTTATCCACCTTTCCCTGGTCAAATCTTTGAGCCAGTTTCATGTACTCTGCAATATTCGCAAGCGACATTCTACGAAGACTTCAACAGCGGACCTCTTCTTTGTAGACCACTTTTTACTGCACCGCTGTTTAGAAGGATTCCGCGGTTTGCAGTTCTTCCGTTTGCAGATCCATTTAATGGGAGAGTCCTCACTCCCTGAATGGCACTAATATCCTTGTAATTGTAATAACCGATAATAATACTGATAATGACTGATAGTGACTATTTCCCAAAAAGAAAATTTTTCTCCACGCATATATCGAAAAGAGGTAATGTGAAAATAGATGCATGATGTATTAGTAATACTTTTTGCCTTTCCATCTGTGCAGTATGAGAGATTGTGACCTACTATTTACCTCCCTTTACGCTTTTATTTTTCCAGTGCAATAAACACAAGTTTTACTTCAATGGTACACATTTTCAGCCGATGAAATCAGCTGATGAAAATAAATACAGATAGAGAATCTTGAGAACGGCCAAAACTATTACTTTATTCGTATAAGCTACGAGAAGACCTGTACAACAAAATGTCCCGCTTGAGCTTTCACCATATGTCGTCGATCCTGCTGTAGTAGAAAACTGCGGTCCTGGAGAGTCGACACCACGACATCGAATTAAGTATTGTGCTGTTGATAGAGATAGTGTAGATGGCACTATAGTTTATATATAGTTATAAATCGATTGCGAAGCCGATGAATTGAAGCCGGTGACTTCCAGTGGTTTCTCGTGAAAGCGATATAGTTGTATTAGGTTGATGCATAATTATTGCGGATTTTTTCGCGGCTTTTTTTTTCTCTCGATAGAATTTGAATATTGAATTCGGGTTTTTTTCTAGGAATGATCTACTTGATTTTCTCTACAAGAATATACTCAAAAAACCATCCGCATGTTCGCGGAATCAGGCTTAACCACTTCGAGAAAGATTGGGAGGTGGCACAGCCATTCCGCGATCTCAGTAACCTTTCGGCGATCGAACAATCAGCCAGAGCCAGCCAGGAAATGGGATCTACCCCTAAATCTGCCATATTCACCAGCAGAAACTTTTATGGATTATCTCGTCAACCGTTCATTGAAAAAATGGCTAGAGAACAGAAGTTACGACGATTTGGATGACTTGATGGCCGATGGCCGATGTCAAGGCG